GAGTCACACTCCTTAGGGCAAGGGGAGGCGAACTCCAGATCTCCAGGAGTGGTGCGAATACAAATCCTATAAGACATTGCAATACTCTGGACGACCACAGACATGAATTCCAGAGTCAGATGCATATTGGCATTTGTAGTTTTACCATAGCTGGAGGGCTGGAGTATACCTACCGCTGCCTTAGGGCATTCTCCACAACTATAAGTCAGTAAAACATAAATTAGTGATAGCCGTGCTATGTAGAACTATGGTGCAGAGACTAACTAAATCAGACATGGCAAGCAAGGTCTACTTTACAATTTATCACTGTAGGTACATTGGAACAATTGCCACTTAAAGTTCAGATCAGTTTCAAGGCATTAAGGCAAGTTATTTTTAGCAATCACAACCAATGAAATCCGATCATCACATGAAGAAAACAATTGTTCGAGCGAATCTAAACCAAAGAACAAAAATGTAACCTACTGCAGCTTAAAGCAGAACTCTGGGCACAAATGTTATTAAAATGGGCTGGAGCAAGCGCTGTGACAGCCGGCCAGCTCCTAGGATCGGGTGAGTTTAATATTTTTTTTTTAACCTAGACAAAAATAAGCAGTTTTAATTTTATTAACCTGCAAGGGTTAATTAAATTTGTGCTCGGAGTTGTGCTTTAATATTCCTTAGATGTGTTGGCTGCATTCCTTTTTTTTTTTTTTTTCAGGCTTTGGTTCTCTTTTTTTTTTTTTTAGCACCTGGTTATCCTTCCAGTAACAATATTGCTGTCCTAGGGTGACAACATTCACTCACCATATTATAATAATAGAGCAGCGGAGTTGTCACCCTAGGAGAGAACTATAGCACAGGGTGTTCTATAGTCCTGTCCCAACTCCTATACTTCTCCATAACACAAGGGGACATGTTCTGTAGTCCAGAAATGGGAACAACACAGGCAGACAGCACAGGAAGTTATCCTCAGGACTTCTTTTTTTTGTACTTATCCAACAGATAAAAATATCACTGAAAGTGTTTTGTTACAACAGACCAAATGGGAGCAAATGACATAAGGCCATGGTTAGAGTTTACATACACTTTAAAAGGTATATAACAAAGGCGCTATAAATTTGGTAAACCTAGCCATATGTCTTTCCAATCAGTGTCACTACGATTTTACCCTTCTGACCAGCACAGTTTTAGTACGCTTATCCATGGATGATAACCTGTAGACCTGCTAACAGGCTTCTTTGTGCCAAGACAGCAATCAGTTTGTGTGCGTTGCTCAGGTAAGGAGAGCAATAACACATTCCATGGCTGCTTTGTGACAAGAGGTTCATTGGAATCAGATTTTGAATACAGACAGGGAGTGGCAGCTTGTTGAACACTGATCCTGCAGCTTATTTTAAGCACGTATTCCCGAGCGGAGGGCAGATGTTGCAACAGACTTAACCGAGGCTTAGAGGATCTTAAACTCTCAACGCTGTCCCCGTGCATAACCTCACAAAGTAAGATTTCCACCTTGTTCATTATCAGGAGACCAGAGAAAAGTAGCTTACAGTGTGACTGACAGGTGTCAAACCCCGAGCTGGCTAACAAAAAGAATACAGTATGTTTAGGAGAAGATGGCACCTGGTACTCACCTGAGCAAAAGGTGAAAGAGAACCAGTCAAATCAGCAACGCAGGCACGAACGACTTACTTCAGTGTAGTCTCACCTTCACCATCAAAATGATGCTTGCGATATCATTCAACCCCATTACAGAATAACCGCTAAATGCACTTTAAACTACGCAGAGGTCAAGGGGGTGAATACTGCTAATTCTGCATAGTAACACTCCCTCCAGAAAAGGCAGACTAAGCCCTGTCTTATTTACACTGCAACTTCCAACAGTCATTCATGAACACTCAAGGCAGGAAAGGCTAGGTGGACTTTAGTCATTTCGCAACAGATAGGCAGGTATGTTAGAGAATGTTTATATACGCCCTAAGAAATGTCACATCACCTATCGTCATTTCATTGTCAAAAGGAAACAAGTTGTCAATAGGCACACTTTGTCAAGGTCATATGCTCAAGTTATAAATACACAGTGGCATTGTAATAGTGAGTGTTATAGTTGTAATGTTTATTTTACATCTATTTTTTAAATATTTTGAATCTAGAATTTTTAATGCATCACACTGAATGAAAAATAAGGACAATCCTGCTAATAACCCAATGTATTAAATACTCAGCTTCTACTTCATGGACCAAGATGCTGAATAAGAGATGAAACAATTGAGTAAATCCTGGTTCCTGCGCAGTTCTTGCCCGTGTTCACAGCAGTTTGCAGCCTTTCACTTTGTGACTTTCTACAAAGTTACAGTGTTGCAGAGATGAGACTGAGGAAATGCTTTGTTCTGCCTGCAGCAGACTAAAGGCTCTTTTTCCCACAGCCGCTCCCTCAGTCCATTTTTGACCTGTGATTACATGGATAAAAACAATGGGCTGCAATACTTCCCTATGGGTGGCAAGATGTAAGCAGACCTGCACCTATCTACATCCACCCACTTACAGGTCAGTTTAGGTTCCTCAGACTGCGTCCAAGTCTTTTACTGATCTGGCCAAATGTGGGTGGATATAGGCAAAGCACGTAGGTCTACATCCAAGCCACCCATAGGGATTGCACAAGATGGAAGACAAATCGGAACAGATACGAATGTCACATGTGTGACATCCGTATCTTTTCTGGCTAGGGGTGCGACTAATGATTATTTTCACAATCGATTAGTTGGCCGATTATTTTTTCAACTAATCAGATAAAATTAAATAAATACCATCCTTAATTTAAAATAAAATACACAAATGTAGTGTTACAACCATGAAATTTACTTCAGAATAAAACTGCATGCACAATGTTTTGCAATCGCACAACATTGCGGTACCATGAGTTCCAATTGTATTGTAAGCACATGGAGCTTGAATAGCTGCAGCCAGTGAATGACAGCTGCCAGTGGCAAGATTCCGCAGATGCCAGCTGAATGTAAAGTATAGCAGGTAGTGGACAATAGCAAGCCTGCTATTGGCCATTTTTAAACTGCAACAGCCAATAGGAGGATGCCTTATGCACTTGCCCGCTGTGTCATCCTCCCAGCATGGAGGAGCTAGGGGATCCACCCAATTAATCAATAATGAGAACAGTTGACAACTATTCTCATAATTGATTATTATTGATTAATCGATTAGTTGGTTGCAGCCCTAGTTCTGACCTGACTGATCCTCTGCTGAGTTGATGGCCCGTGTGAAAGTGATGACAACATCTCAGCCTAGGAAAAGTCATTGGACTGGAGCCTAAGAACTGAGTATTAATCTATGAAAGGTAGAGTTTTATTTTCTGAAATATAATGTTGTTGTATATTGTGTCAGGAATGTATTCCTGCAGACTTGTAATGGTACTAAATAGTCTACACTATGTTTACTTGATCACACCTTATGACGTTTCACTTCAGTCCAGGACCTTTCTAAAGCCAAAATGTGTCCTAAATTGGAAGGAAAAATTCCAAAAAAGCCAAATTTAATGAACAGATTGGGCTTGTGGGGTCCTGGATTTGCAATGTATAGCTGACTCTTAATTTGGTTATAGGAACTGCTGATGAAAATTATGGACTGTTGCAAACTTGTGGATCCAAGTCAATTGAAAACTCAGTTCCAGCCAAAACTTTTTTCCTATTTTTTTGGTGACTGGAATTTTTTTTTTATATGGAGACAAACACCTTATTTTAACAATGACAATTGAATGCACATCCCTTTAGAGTAGAAAAGAATCATGACCAGGTAAGACCTAAATGTGGTGCCGTGTCTAAACAGTCCAGTACAAGTACTGTAGTAAACCTCTGATTTCACTGCTTGTAAAAGAAACCTGTGCACAGGGATTACTTTTCAGGAATGTTGCATGCTCAGACAGTGCAGAACAGGGGTAATGTATAATTGTGTCACAAAACTCAGAGTCAAAATGTACGAAGAGATTCCAGGTGGTTTTGTAAATGACCCCTCCAGTGGTAAATAGCATTCTAGTGTATGGTCAGCTTAATAGTGTTTTATTGTTCAAGGTTTTACCATACACGATAGTAACGTAAAACAATTATGGAATCTAAATAAGGCCTGGATAATTTTATTGCAGTTAAATATCCAGAATCATAAATAGTAAAAACACAATATTTTGATCCTGGAATCGAACCGGCTGCCCTTGGTGGCCATGAAAGGAAATCTAATTTTTTTTTGTGCCCCGAGTGGCAAAATTGGCAACAGTTGTCCAGGGAGTTGATTTTTTGCCCTCCCCTGAACTAAACTGCCAGGATTGAAAGAGGATGCACTGGACTGATATACCAGCCTTTTTTATAACCAACTATATAACTATGGTTATCTACCCTTGACCTTATATTAGTAGTTTTCTCAAGAATATGAAAGTGGCGCTAAACAATGGCCAACTCCATAATCAACTCTGCATTTTAGACCAGACACTTCAATCTGTCGAGCATTTTTTGACTGCTTACCTCCTTCACTGCATGTCCTGGAATCCAAGCTGTCCAAAGAACCTGTACTGAAGCTGGCATTGATGTTCACATTTGAGTTGCTCACATTTGTGCCTTTAAAAGATTCCCCCAAGCTCTCCACAGAACCAAGACTCATATTCTCCAGTTCGGAGTTAATCTTTTTCATTTTCCTTGGAAAAATAACATGGTAATGTCAATAAAAACATTCAGCTTGAATATCTGCTTAGAGATAGTAACAATGGTTATGTCAAGGTCATAAACAAAGGCTTAAAGTGAATCTGTGCTTTGCCTATGATGGTGCAGGCTCATTTTAATTTCCCCTCCACAGCAGCACATACTCCTCCTTCCTTTAACCCCCCTGCTGCTTCATTCAGCCAGCAGGAGTAATGAAACCAAGCCCAGTGGATACTTCACGCAACTGTGCCTGAGTCCATCACCAAGCAGCAACACTGGGGTGAATGGGTGTGTGTGGCATGCTTCTCCGTACCCAAAAGTACTGAGTATGTTCTTGACTCCCAAAAGGCTGAACAAAGTTTTTGGCGTGCAAAGGAAAGGCAAATATGTCAGTGTCAGCTTGAGAAAAGAGCATTAAAGTGACACCAAACTCAGGAGTTAAATCTTAAAAATGCATTCAAGTACCTTAATTATTATCAAAAATGTATCTTATTTGTGCATTATTCAGCTGTAGATCCTTAAATTATTTCTGAATTCACGGTGACATTGTCTTTCCTTCTGGAGGGTGGCTACTTTTGTTCCCTATGGTCCCTGTGTATTGTAGAGTAGCCACCGCTCCAAGCTTGCTCCTGTGATGGACTTCAATCCCATGTTTAGTTTACTAACTTGTATTGAAATTGTAGTCCATCTATATAGTGATACTATAGTTTAGTGTCACTTTAGAGTGATCCTGTTGCTTTGCCTTGCATGGGAAAAGTGCAGGTTTGCTTTAATAAAAAAGATAGTATAAACCCAAGATTACATAACTCCAGTGAATAACAGGACGCATACAACACCATGTTCAAAATGGATATGTACTTTGACTATATAGGTTCACTTTATAGCAGACAGCACAAGTGCCCTATACATCCCTTCCCCATGTTTTCCGCTGCCCTGATCGACCGCCAAGCCCAGCTAAACTACTATGTATGCATCTATGATATAAAAATTTACCCAGTAGTAAGCAACCTGCCCATCCTTGCATTACAGTACTCAGGCCTGGCAACTGGCCGCTTAGGCTAGTCATGTACGGCGCCAATTTTGGCTAATTGCTGCTGGATTAAAAAAACTTACTGAGTTGGGTGAAAAATTGTTGGCTTAACAGTGACTGCATCCTATGAGATGCAGTCATCGTTTGGGTATTTAAGAAGCCATTATGAATACAATAGCCTGCATATGAGATTCCTCCGGCCATGCTGTTTGGCATGTGTAAGGCATCTGGAATATGCGGTCCAGTTTTGGTCACCAATCCAGAGAAAGGATGTCCTTGAACTGGAGAGAGTCCAGAGAAGGGCAATCAAACTAATTAAGGGGATGGAGGACCAAAGCCATGAGACAAGGTTACTAACATTTAAACATGTTCATGCTGGAAGTGAGGAGATTAAGGGGGATACGATTTTCTTGTACAAGATGTTCAATGGTGATAGCAACATCAGCAATAAACTCTTTACGGTAACCTCCATAACAAAAACTAGAGGCCATCTAAAACTAGTGGAGAAAAAAGTGGAGTGGGCTTCTTCACAGTAAGAGCGTTTAGGGTCTGGAACTCGTTGCCACAAGCAGTGATCTCAGCTAAGAAAGTTGAATCGTTCAAAAAGCATTTGGACTATTTCCTCAGAGACCGCAACATACAGGGGTACAGGTATACTTAAGAAGATGGCACATGGACTCGTACACATGTAGATTCACATACATACACGCTATAGGTTGGACTTGATGGACCCGTGTCTTTTTTCAACCTCAAATGCTATGTAACTATGTAGCTTTAGGCACCCATTGCTGTATTGTGAAAGGTGTGTCACTTTCCCCATGGCTAGAAGTACTGACTCCTTTCAGGCAAATACAGAATGCTTACCCTGGCTTCTATAAAAGGAAATTTGGTATGCTGCCTGATCTGGGCAAAGTACAGGTTCACTATGAGCACATAACGGACTTAACTAGAATGACTATAGCTGCAGGATTCCCTTGTACCTAATTTTCTAGGAAAAAGATTTAAGAAGAAAATCACGTACGAGTACAACACAAATTCCTAAAGTGAACAAAACAGGATGTGCAAACGGACAGATCCTGCTCTCTATCTTAGAACTGCAAAAATCAAAGAGAAGAAAAACTGGTTTTTCCTTTTCTCAAAAATGCACTTTTCAAGCGAAGCAGAAGGAAAGACTATCCGTGCTGCCATGCCAAAGCAATATAATGCATGCAAACAAAAATGATATTTATTCCACAACAACAGGGTATATGTTTAATGTGGCATCTGACGTGGGTTAATATTTTTAGCAATATTGCAGATGGAATTGGAGAACTTAGGAAACCAAATGATTCCAAACAACATAATTCATGCATCAAGAAAAAAAATAAAAAAAGACAAAAGCTTTTTATACACAACTCTAAACCTGTGCTTGGCTAACATTGCACATATTTCTGGGTGATTTTACTCCGGGCATGTACAAAATTAAAAGACAAAAGATAGAATCTCTCTAGAAATGTGTGGTAATGTAACATAGGCCTGTCATAATTAAGTAGAAGGACTCTGAAAGCAGACATTGTCATAAGGCATGTGTGTTCTCCTTGGAAAGTTATCATTAACCATCTTACTCTTCTTTCCATTTTTACATTTTCTTAGGCTAAATGCAGAGAAATGATCACTCATAGAATGGGTAAATAGCAAAGTATATTTGTGCAGGGTGCCACGTAGCAGACATCCCAACTCTCCTGGAATCTCCCGCTATTAGATAGCGGCTCTCGGCCGCACGGGAGAGAAACACTTCCTCCCGGAAAGGTTTAATCTGCTCGAACGAGCAGATTAAACCTTTCCCTGCGATAGTTTTTTTCTTATTTTCTGACATCGGGAGACGCGGCCCGACCGTCAGTCAGAAAAAAAAAAAAAAGGCATAGGAATAGGGGGGGGGGGGGCAGGGGTAGAGAGAGGGCACCTCCCTGAAATTGCTTCTTTCAGGTTGGGAACCCTGCATATTGATGAAGCCTTCTGGGAGCTATTGTTGAGCAGAGGACACACTACTGGAAGGCTCAGGGCTACAAAATGGAATGTGACTAGGCCTCCTTCCAGGACCTTGCCATGGAGGCTGTGGGAAAAGGTGGAAGGGACAGTCCACACAGAAGGTAGCGGGTCATTGTATGAATCCGGATTCAAGGACACAAGACATTCTTCGCATAGCTCACATCCCCCTCTTACACAGCTCTGCTACTAGGAATTATAAAACAAATGCCATGTAAGGCTTTGAAGTTGCCTGACACAAAAAGCACAGCCTGCACCCTGTAACTGGACGAGGTTTTGTCTCTGAGAAGTGCAGCTCATTTGGTGCCAGGAAAAGTGTGTAGAAAGGGCATGCCATCTCCATAGCAGCTACTGATGTCTAAAAATGACTCATATGATTGATCACTTAGACAGGAAAAAGCAAGCCAAAGCATCTTAACGTCTTACTTAAAAAATAAGCAGCTAGCTAAGTTGCCCCTAAACAAAATGTTAACATTTTAGAAGCCTAAATAAGTATTAAAAAAAAGTTTGAAGAACGTACGGGAACAGAATCTTTTTAGAATAAAGTCATATGGCAAATGGACCACGGAATGGAGAAGGATGTGCTGCTACCCACCACAGCTTAATACCTCCTTTATAATGAAATTGCAGCCGACATATTACAACAGGCAAATCTGCATACATGTATATTAGGGATGTCCCGATACCGATGCTAGCATCGGAATCGGGCCCGATACAGGGCATTTTGAGAATCCTCAGTATTAATCTATTACATATATAAATTTGTCCGTCATGTTTTTACATTACACTGGTTTGAATTTATTTGGGAGCAAAAGTAGGGATGCATCGAAATTTCAGCCAAAAATTCCACTTTTGGCAAAATGCCGAAAGTTCCATGCCGGCCGAAAATGCAGTAGAAAATTCAGTGCATACCAGGTTCTATCATTCCCGCTGGGCAACGGTCTGTGTGCCTTCCGATGCAGCGGCCAGCACCCAGCGGGGAGCAGAGAAGGTTTCAGGATTGCGTGATTGGAGGAGAGCTCTGTGATGTCACAGGAGGCCGAGTTCTCCTCCCACACCACCAGCTCACCCTCCTGTGACAGCAGAATCAGGATGTAGAGCGGAGTACAAACATCAGCTGATCGCTAAATGTTTGTAAATAACTGGACATAGTATAAGTTACTATGTACCAGTTATGAATGAATAGGAAGTGATCTACATAACTTCCTGTTCATTCATGATTGTGGACATGGTAACATACTATATCCACAATTTATGAATGAACAGGAGCACTCAGTAGAGAGGCTCCCTGTTCATTCAGTGCTGGGGCTGCAGAAAAAGAGATTGAGGACTCTGTGTCCTCAATCTCTTTTTCTATAAAAGGGAAATATCACTGCCTTTGAGATTGTTAACTCCCTTTGAGATTGTTAAGCCCTCACGGGCAGGGCCCTCCTTACCATCTTGTCTTGAATTGTATTGTGATTGTAATGTCTTCCTTATATTGTAAAGCGCTGCACAAACTGTTGGGGCTATATAAATCCTGTATAATAATGAAAATAATAATCAAGGGTCTGTTTAGAGCCCCCAGTTTAGAGCCCCCAGAGCCCCCAGCTCTTTTACATTTTATTTTAAAAAATTTATTTTTGGTTTCGGTCTCAAAATTCCATTTCGGTGCATCCCTAAGAAAAAGTTTTAATAATTTTCACTACTTGCCCAAAAAAATTCAAAATGTGTAAATTTTAAATGCATCTTCCTAATAAATAACAAAAAATAAGGTCAACTGATAATAAGGTTATTTTTAAAGGGGCTGTCATTGTGTAGCCTGAGATAGATGCGAGAAATTTAGATAATGTTCGCAGTCTTCTGTTGATCTAACCAAACAGACAACCTTTTGTGAATCTGGAGTCAATGATCCCATTCATCTTATGACACAGGTCAGTGACAGGAGCTATCAAGTCACACACTTGTATATAGTGTGTAGATATACAGCCATTCTGCTGCACAATGCCTCTAAGGAATGTTGTGATGACTGTTGGGAAGAGGGTGATGAGAACTCCCATCAGACACTAGTTACACACATCATTAAAGGTGAAGTGACCTTTTATATAATAACACAGCATTAGAGACTTAGGACGGTATAAGCTCCTGCTGGAAAAGAAAAGTGGAAGTGCGATTATAAATACCATCTCTGTTATATAACTTTTAAGTACAGACTATCTCTGTATAGCCTAGGTCATCTGGAGTAAAGCCTGTGCTTGAGATGTATAAATACCTGCTACATGCATATGGCTTCATTCAAGACTAGCTGGGATTATAAAGTCTATTTTTAGTTCGTAACTAAAATCACTTAGCTCTAGAAGTACTGGTTTTGCTGGTATGACATACCATAAGATAGAGCCTTGCTGCTCCAACTGGTAATTATTTGTATATCTTGGTTTTGAATGAATACAAAAGCAAACTCGCGCCTGTTCGTTGAACGGGCTGAATAAAGAAGGGGGCGTCAATGCAATGGCAGAGAGCAGAGATGAGGGGTGTTGGTACAGTGATGGCAAGGTGGACAGTTCCAAGCACGGTGGCTAATGGTACCGCAAGGAGATGTCTGGTGTGACTCCAGATGTAATCCACCTTGCCAGCAGCAGAGGTTGGACATGGGGGTTGGTGGTTTGAGCTGGCAGGCTGGAATTACAGTGCTCTTGTAAACTGTAGCAGAAGCCGGGGGTATGGCTGTTGTAGATAGTGCTCGTCTACATTTGTCTATGCTTTTCTTGCATGCACAGTAGGGACACAATGAGAGGAATTTATCTGAACTAGAGCAGACCGAATCTGGAGCAGTTGCCCATAGTAACCAATCAGCTTCTATTTTCTGTGTGTTCATTTAAAGGGACACTAAACTCTGGGGCTAAAACTTAAAAAATGCATTCAAGTACCTCAACTATTAACAAAAATGTACCTTGTTTTTGTATTACTCAGTTCTGGATCCTCAAATCATCTCTGAATTGGTGCGGACACTGTCCTTCCTTCTGGAGGGTGGCTTCTTCCCCCATGGTCCCTGTGTGTGTTGAAAAGTAGCCACTGGTCCAAGCTCGCTCCAGTGATAAACTACAATCGCAATACAAAATTAGTAAACTACACATGAGATTGTAGTCCATCAAGGGAGTGAGTTTGGAGCAGTAACTACTCTACACCACACAGGGACCATGGGGAGAAAAAATACCCACCCTCCAGAAGGAAGGACAGTGTCAGCAGATGATTTGAGAATCTACAGCTGAGCGATACATAAATAAGATACATTTATATTAATAGTTAAGGCACTTGAGTGTATTTTTAAGATTTAACTCCTGAATTTAGTTTTTTAACTTTGAAAATGAAAGATAGAAGAGAATTGGTAAATGCACAGCTGCTCCAGATTCTTCTGCTCCAGTCTAGATAAAATTCCCCTCAATGTTGCTACCTTCCTGCAGCGACTGCACATTTTGGTTTACCCCAAAGACTACACTACCCCCAGAGTGTTAATAGATTATTAGCAATGGGACACTTTCTTTGCCGGGAGCTGATTGCTGGTATCTAGAAAGCAGTTTCTCAAGCAGGAAGAAAACAAAATCAGTGGAATCTCCTAACAATTATGAAAAGCCAAGAAACAGGGGAGTCCGATTCTTTAATTTATCCAGCCTCAAACACAGGAATCCATGTTTCTATAGCGCCACCTTCACAAAAGTTAAATAAATATTTGGTATTGGGCACCGTGTATAAGCAAACTTTGCAAGTACCAGTTAATTTAAACATTTTAAGAGCGTATCCAAGCTTAATGCGTCAGAGAAAATTCTATTCCTGTAGGTCTTCCTCAAAATTGACTTCCCCTAATAATTGGCTAACCACTTCAGTCTCTATTATGCTGCAATAGTGCTCCCTCAGCATCAAGACAATGTAAATATTGTGGGAATCTATGTAGTAAGGTATCTACAGAATCAGGTGCACATTTAGTAAAACTCAGGCAGCTCCTCTTTTTGTGGGTCCCCTATGCCTGAAATCCTGGTGTACTTGCTGCAGTAGTTTTGCAAACATCGGACACACATTTTGCCATTGCCCTTGTAATGGTTATCCACTTAAAACATGCTCACAATTAAGAACTGATCACGTGAACAATTTATTTTGACTCCAATGAGAAGGAGGAGGGGGGAAAATGTATAACTCAAGCTATGATCTGGAGTAAGTTTGTCCTATTTGAAGTGCCTACAAGGTTAATATACTGTATATCATGCAGTTTAAAAAGTACTGTCTACATATGGCAGCACTTAAAACACACTGTGGATATGACTAGTGGAATTTGCTAGTATTTCATTCTCTCAGTCAAAGCTTTAACAAATGGTAACCCCAAAGTAACTGGATGGATGGGGCTGGTTTATGTGATGTGTATACAAATAAGTCTCTTCAGGTATAAACGTTTTCTAGATGTCGGTTTCAGCTTTCATTAGACCAGTATGCTCTGGTAATGAGAACAGAATAAAACATCTTATAACCCCAGGCTACAAGCAGTGAACACATTACTACAGTCCACATTCCTGTAGTTATAAGGCTAACAAGTAGCTGTTTACTGGCTGTACTCAACTTTCCTCCGCCTTGGGATTACCAGTTAATCTTACCATCAAACACAATTTAGGTATAATTTACAGTGAACAATATACAGAGATGTATTATTAAGACCTTGCATTCCTGAAACCTATACAAGAATTCCTAATGTTTAAAATAAACGTCTTATTTGACAACTAGAAACCTCAACGAAAGTCATACTGCTAAACTAAATGCAAATTACATGTAATGTAGAAGAAAAGAAAGTGTTTATTAAAAAGGTAGTATCTGAAATGTATATGAACAATACAATAATTGAGTATCATGTACTAAGTGCAGCATTGGCATTTGCCATTAGGGAGTGTTAGCTACTTAAACTGCCACTTCCTGATTTATTCATTGCAAAAACATAATGTCCCTAGCATGCTTTTAATATAGGTATTAAAAGAATTGATAACCTAGGTAACAAGCTTGCGTGTATATGTATGAGAAAATTAGCTTGGGAAAAAAGGCCCAACAGGCTAGTATCACTTACCTGGGCTGTTTTTTTGGTGGAGGGGGTGGGGGTTGATTGGAGCCTTCAGCTTCGCTATTTACTTTTGAAAGTTCTACAGGACAGGAAGCAGATTTACTCATGCCTTTATGACCCTTCAGGTCGTGCAAGGTCTCATTGTCTTCTTTAACAACAGTGCTGGATGCAACAAGCTGTGCACTGCTTACAGCACTTGTCCTTGACAGTATCAACCCAGATGACGTCTCCTCCTCCTCTTCCTCATCAATTCTGCATTGTCGGCTCCATGTTGTGGGGTAGAACCTCTGTCTGCGATCTCCACTCGCTAAGCACCTGTCATTCATCTCCAAAGATTCCTTTTTATGGGAAATAGAGGATAAGATCCCAGACGTGTGTGTTGGGGAGGACACTCTGGGAATAATACATTCTTCAGATTTGTTCAATTTGGATGGTACGGTGAGGTTGGTATTGACCTGGTATTTCTGAGCCAAGGAAGATTGGTATTTTCTATTCTCATCAGATTTTGCTTGGTTCCTTTCTCCCCAGACAAACGTAGGCGACAGACTAAGATTCTCGACAGATGATGGACTACTGCATGCCCATTCAACTCCAACTGCAGAGTCTGGACTGCTCAAATAGATTGTTCGGTTGTCTTCCTCTGTGTGGGCAGCCATGACAGTTATCCTGGCAGCCACATGCGTCACTGACTCTTGAAGTATTCTGTCATTGCTTACTAAGTGTTGATCCTTGTTGGCATCCTCCTCTCGTTTGTTACCAGTTTTCTCTGCCTGCCCTATACTTCTTGCTACAGCTTTGTCTGAAATAGCTTTTCTTTTAGTGCTTTCAGCATATATTGGCTCATTATTCTTTTCACCCGCAGGTATTGTAGATAAGTGAAACTCAGAAGTCTGGAAATCGGCAATAGCTGGTGATACAAGTGGACTGATGCATGATCGCGTCTCTGACTGGTTGTCTGACTCAGATTGCAAGGATACTTTCATTCTGCTAAAATACATGCTCTTACTAGATCCCAGGTCTGAGGTATGGCAGTTTCTGCCATCGTTCACAGGTCTTGTTTGGTTGCACAATCCTGCAGCAACTCTGGCAGAAGTTTCACAAGCTGCATTGCCTCTGGAAAGAACAGTTCCATTGGTTGATGGCCTGTCAGCAATAGACTGTGTTCCACAGCCGTAACTGCTGGAACTATTTGAAGAAAGCAAAGCCGGTTCTCCTCGAAAACACTTGAGTTTCTCAATATTTCCATTGCTGCCTTCTCTTGAAAACTGGGTAGCTTCCTGTGGGGAAGTTGGCAACTTTTCCTTGAGAAATACAGCTTTGTCAACTTGACCACCGAAGTGGCTCACATATGTCAAATTGTGTACAGCATTAATTTCAATCTTTTTATCAGGATTTGTCAGTTCATTGAAAACATATTTTGATGGGTCACCAGAAGAACCATAATTGTGCTTGAAAGGCTTGCTAAAGTTATCCAAAATAACCTTTGAGATATCCCCAGATTTCAAAATCGAATTGCCTGTTGAGGACACTTTCCAACTCACCTAGGGTAAAAAAGAAAAAATCAATATACTTTTGTAATGTAGATATCATGAGCATACTGAATATGCAATAATTTGTGAATTTATATATCAGGGATAATTCTATAAATGTTATGGATTACAATTTTGTACTTCGCCAGCCAGTTATCTTTGCCATTCTCAACCCGCTTTTATAAACACAAGCCCTTGCCAATTTAAGCTTTATGTCTGCCACATTTTATTTTCCCTTGCATAGAGTGGGAAAGGGGGGTTGGAGCCTCTATCTAGTTTTATTGCTACCTGGAGCCCCGTAAGAGAGAGGTCCCCTCATCTGTTAGGGCAGGAAGTAATGAGAAGTCTCTCCAAATGGGGACACACGCCAAAATAAAAACACCTTTTTAGCAAAATGGGCTATATTTTCTCTCTGTCTATGCATTCCCCTTTACACAGGCAGTCCAATCAGATCCACCTGTCAGTTTTTCAGGTGGATCTGGTCAGAAAACAAAGTAACCCTATGGCAGAATTAAACGGACATGTGCCCATTTACATTCAATTACCTCAAAGTCCTCAGAATTCTTTATAAATGATAGTCCATAAAAGATCAAGCTTATAAAAGATCATTACTATGTAACAAAACATCCAATAGCTAATAATTGTAAACAATGCCATGCTAATTACTTTGCTACTGCTCTATAAACTCAGAAACGTGCAACAGTTTTTGTGAAATTGCTATTCACCATTAGCCATCTAGTCTATTCCTTTGCAATAAGAGGATTATTCCATATTTCAGGCAGGGACATGCGGTCAGGAAGTCTGAAGTTGACAACTTTTTCTCCATTCAGAGTGGCTTCCCTGCTGTGTAACCTGTCATGGATTGAGCGATGCCTGTTAATTACAGGCGGCGCTGCATCTGGCTTTTGACAGCTAAGTTAGGTTACATGGCAGCGGGCTTCCCCACTGCTTTGTGTAAACTATCATAGTGAGGCCAGAGCTGTCACAGCCTCGACTCTGTGTTAGAGGCTTGAGCTCTGTGGATGGTTTGAACCAATGGCAAAGCGCGATTGGTCCAAGCGAGAAAAAAAAAAAAAAAGAAAACACTGAGCACATCGATCTCAATGCCTTACAAGTAATGAGCAAGTGGGGGACAGGGAGGCTCCTCCCTGTCTTCCCTCTTCTCCAGACATAGCTTGTTGACTGGGTTGGGCGTCAGCGGGCTGGGGAATGCCTCACCCAGCAGGGAAGGTACCGCACATCACTGATTTCAGGATAATGGGCGGAGCCATGCACATTATTTATTTTCACCCCAATGGCAACTGTACATTCAGAAACACAGAGTGTGAAAAGTGTATTGTATAGCTATAGTCTAATGTTAGGGGAGGGCATTTATCCCAAACTGCTTTTGGTCATCATGTGCAGCGGAAATCATGGCTTCTATGAAGTAGGGCTTGAGATTCAACAAGAATAGAACTATGAAATGGTGATAAAATGGGGGTAAAAAGGAACCAAAAAGTCCCTCACTGAACCAGTACATTTTTGGGATGTGATGGAAGGAAACATGTGAATGCCTTCTGGTTTAAAAAGGTTTTACTATACCACACACTGGTTCAGTAGGTTTTTTTTAGTTCCTATTATTCCTTCTCACTATAAACTTTCTTAATCTAGTCAATGTAGCTCATATTCATTAATCTGGAATTCTATCACACAGCAAGCATTATTAATATGATTTACAAATTCAGGTGGACATCACTATGCACTGTACAAACATGTACCTGAGTAAGAGTCTCTGTGCTGTTCATCTGGGCCCACTCCTCTGCAGTATCTGAAGTAATCATGGTTGGCTTTACTGCTATGGTGGGCTTTGAATAAAGAGCAGCAGTCATAATGTCATCATCTTGGTTGTTATTTTCTGACTTGGTCCTAATTCCATTAAAACTTGGCAAGGCTGGCAAGTTGCCGATCTTTCCATCGAAGTGTGCTTGAGGCTTTCGGTGGTCACTTTTTGGATGAAAGCAGTTCTTGCAGGATCCAGGTTTCCAGATATGTTCCACAAACTCGTTGCACACAGACATTTTCAGGCCCTGATTGAACTGTGTTACGGATCTGTGCATGCTAAGGCCAGGACTACTTGTCTCATCTTGTGCACAGCAATGTGAAGAAAAAGAGGTTTTGTCGCAAGTCTAAAAGAAAACAAAATTCAGTTTTTATTAAAAACATCATAACTTTTTGCCGTTGGTGTTAATTGGGCAACCCAATGTACTAACTTAAATATGAACTCCAGGTAAACAGCTAAATACACATATAAGAGAGCTGTTTTACCTGCCAAATGATTTGGCTTTCTATCCAAACAGCTCTGAGATTTATACATCTCTGCCACACAGCACAGCAAGAGAAAGCGTAGTTATATATAAAAATGCTAATACAATATGAAGGGGAAATAATACAATAATAGAATATAGCACGAGTTCAAATAATTCAATTACTATAAGTTACATGTTTATTTTTTTACCACTTTTTCCTTCCTAAACTTTCCAGATTACACATTTAATGCAGTATGCCTAAATTAGACATTGCAGAACCTTAGCTTCACAGGCTTTAACAGTATGGTCTACTGGGGACCTTCAGTCTTTGTGTGGCTTGTATAGAAAACCCTCTTTTGTTCGACCTTAATCAAAATCACTAAAAAGCTCAATACATCTACACTTTTGCTTCCTAAAAATCCATTGATGTGACCAATCAAAAGGGAAAAAAAAGTTCGGATTAGGAAATCGTTTAATGCCATGGAAGGACTATGGTGATTCATCAAACACGTAGCTGAATGGTAGAGGAAGCCTGACCCAGTGTCTTATGAATCACCGTTACTTTACAGTGTGTCATGCAAAAGATATGTTACTTAGCTTTTGGCAAGTTTTATCAAACATGAACCCACCCCATGATCACGTCTATTCAACACTAAACAAGGATTCCGATACTGAATATGAGATCAGCCTATGTAAGCCAGCAACACCCTTGTGCTGAGTGACACAGTTCTGTGTGAAAACCATTAGGTCCTGCCTCCTGCTACAATACTTTTGTCGGTTTATTGACAATTAGAAGCAACACCTTGGCCATTTACCATATCAAAAAGTGAGCTTTCCTATTTCACAGCTGCATACTGATTTAGCACTTCAAACGCATACATTCTGCACCAATTAGCCACTTTCACAACAACTCATTTTTCAAAGGTAACATTAAACTAGACGTAAGCCCTAATTAAAAGGATATGTAGTTTGCTACAGCATGATGTATCATCAACAGTTGCCATTTGTAACAAACTACTCGTTTTTGCTTTTTTTCATCCTTTTGTGGCATCTCAGTCCTACAGCCTTTTTACAACCGCTTCTTGTCTGCATGTATGCACTCCACCATTGGCTGCATGGCATTTCTCAGGGTGGGTTTCCTTATGGTGACAACAGCGGATTATGCGTGCTTAATGTGCAAAGAAATGGCCGATTGCAGTCTTCATTGGAAGCTTGCGTGGCAGAATTATAATGCAGGAGTACAGGGACAGAGCGTTGTCACTCTTTGGGCTTGTTCACACCAAATACGGACCAGGTCTGCATGAGTTTCTGCATATGCAGTGCGTTTTGACGCTTTTTTTTTTTTTTAGCCTAAAATGGGCTGTCCGGTGTAGTCCAGTGTGTTACGGAGCATTTGCGTGCATTTTTTATACGTTTTGGTGCGTTCCAGAGCAGAGAAAAATAGTGCCTGCTGCAGTTTGTCCACATGCACTGGAACTGAACGCTGTGGTGTGAACTAGAGCCCAAAACACCATTGAAATACATTGGATGCGTTCTTAAACTGCTCTGCATCTGCTCCACACTTGGTGTGAACAAGCCTTATAACAGCAAAGTGGCTGAATAAGGTTCTTTGTGACAGGATCAGAAGGTGTTGTTTCAATCAAAGCAGAACATTTTAAAATACTGAAAATGAACATGTTAAAAATTATATGAGATGAGATTTCAGTGATTGGGTTTAATATACTTCAATTTTTCACAATTGAAATTCTATACAAATGTAATCTGCTATACTCCTTAGGGCTGGGTTCACACCTGGGCGTACTATAGGCGCGTTTTTTCAGTTCAGTGACATGCGCTTTCAACGCTTGTTTTTATACCTGCCTGGCGGTATTATTATTATTATATAATTTTATTTTCTATCTTTTTTTCTGTTTTGTTTTTTTTACTTTCAAACTTCCCGCCGGTTCCGCCCCCTTGCGACGCGGACGCTTGCAAGGGACGGAACCCGGAAGCGGCCGGAGGACACAGCGGGGATCGCGGACAATGTAAGACCGACACTGTATTCCTGGCTGTGGCTCGGGGTTACCGCTTTGTTAACCCCGAGCCACACTCGGGAATATCAAGGGATACGCGCAGAAAAACGCCCCAAAAGAAGCTCCTGTACTTGTTTAGGGGTAGGGTGTTTTTCAGCGCGTTTCTACACGCTGAAATACGCCCAGGTGGGATCCATGCCCATTGGAATGAATGGGATTTCACTGCTTGAGCGTTTTACAGCGCTTCGATCAGTGCTGTAAAACGCCCAGGTGTGAACCAGCACTAACAGAATAATATGACTCAAAATAATATGATTACAGTGCTTTCCAATGGAATACATCTAGCCATAATAGGAACCACTCAGCCACTAACCAGTGTCAGCAATGTATGGCTATTCTACTTTTATAGTAGTTTGATTTCCCTGGTCCATAAAATAAGCATATGACTTATCTTATTACATTATTTCAAGAGAGGAATGCACGCTATGACTGGTCTCAAGGTAAATATTCCAAACCATCTAAGCCAGATAGTCTTTCATAGCAAATGTAGGTTCTCCAAGACCCGATTCACTCCTAGGCGGCACCGTTTGTGCATGTTAGCAGCGTGCGTTTATTTGCGCAATTATGCATGCACATTTTTAATGCACATTTCACACATATACATGAAGACACGCGTCTTGACTGGCAACTCCTAAAACATTGCGAGCAATGCAAAAAAGGCTCATGAAAATGTGCAACATGCTTCTGCCGTGCATTTTTTGTGCATTGCCAATTAAGTCTATAGGGCAAAAAAAAAGCTTTTAAACTGCCCCAAAAAATCTCATGCACCTTTTCAGGGGTTTGGAGTTTTCCTTCTCAGGTGTGAACCAGGGCCATTGAAAATCAGAGGATTTATTGTGGTGGGCATTTAAAAGTGACTGCTCAAAAACTCCTAGGTGTGAACCAGGCCGAAATGGAGCCTTCTTATAAAGTGCCAGAAAGAGTGATCATCCCAGGTCCACTGACAGGGCCAGTAACTGAGTTTGACACACACACACCCACACACACCCAACACCACTCCCACTGTCCATTGTTACATAGTATTTGAGGCTGAATAAAGACACAGGTCCATCAAGTTCAACCTATTGTGTGTAAGCCCTAGTGACAAATGCAAGTTAAAGTGAAACAAAGCACTAAGATAACTGGAATTTCCTTTCTTCTGTTTGTTCAGTGAATATTTGAAAATTAATGAGAGAAGCTGATTGGTTGCCATGCACAGCTGCTGCAGATTGTGTGTGCTCCAGTTTTGATAAAACGCCCGAGCCCCTCTTCCAATCTTTTTCCTTGGCATTCTTCTAGCTTACAATCCTGGCTGTAGATGAATACCACTTGCCTCTAAAATAGCAAACACTGTCTTCTGTAACTAAGAAGGCTGTGGAATATTATATCCATGCACTGCTACCAGAGATATCACTTGGTAGACATCACCGGCAATAGAAACGCAGATTAGTGCAAATAACCAGGGCTGAACAGTTTCCAGTAAATGTATAGCAAAAGCTCTGAAAGTTACAAATGGCAACTACCTATAGGGTTCTGATGGACCAGTATAAGCCATTTATGGCTTGCGTTGGCCAGGAATGTAGCATGATTTACGAACAGCAGTGCTGGACACATCCTAGGAGCCACGTAGCCAATGCTCTTTAATAATTTACAGCTGGCACCCAACATCTGAAGGTTTTCTCTAGTTGTTGTCAATTGAACTGACTTAAAAAAATCCTGCTGGCTCCTGAATTCCATATTCATTTGTCCACCGCTGACAAAGTGCAGTAGTAGGCACTCATCGAGCACACCTTATCACTGCCCTTTGGAAACTGCGAGTCCTTTTGACCTGTGGTTTTCGGTTTCGATGTTGACTGGCTAACGAGTTCCACACCAAACCCCCAGCTACACTTTTCTCCCCACCTAGCACAAACACACTGATACGATTATCATTCACTAGGGTCATGTGTCACATAAACAATTACACCTTCAGACAACTGCTGATGAATTGCACGATCCATCCTCCTGTGACACGTTTAAGGCAAATAAATCATGTAAAGATAACACAGCTAATTATCAGCTAGCTTTCAACTAGTGTTTAGAGCATCACTATAATCCACCCTGAGATTTTCCAACCCCCTTCTGTTTGAAACCAAGATGCTGGTCTTAGGGAATAAAAAAAAAAAAAAGGGAAATCTAGAGTTACAGAACAACACCAAAAGCAGATGTTTGCAAAGAACTGCAAAAGGAATATACCAGTACATCCTATAAAACCTGGTAGTCGATATAAAACCTTGCTATTTTATATGCACTGCCAGCACCATCATATAAAATAAGAAGGTGCAAGAGTACAAATTCAGCTTAACAAGCTGAAAAGCTTTGTCAGCGACAGTAGATACATTGGAAAATATTCAGTAAGCGGCAGTTACTATTCAGCGTCTCATTGTGAAGCTAAAGTAGTAGACAATTCACGAGTTTTACACTAACCCATGTCACCCAAAACAGGCTGCAATGCAATTTGTGCATTGTGCTTTTCTTTTCATGACCAGCTTGCTGTAAAAAGCATTGCTGAGAGCCCAATAAAAGTTAATAGCTGTTGTTCCACTATGAGCTTAGAAGTCCGCTGACATGACCGCTGACAACTACCTAGTTCAGGAAGGTATTTGCTGTGTAACGCTTGGCGTGCCAGATGTAGCCCAGTGTTTGAACACACTACTTTTTTTTTTATTCAATTTTATTATTAACAAAACAAGAGAACCAACAACATTAAACAATATTTATAATACATAGAGAGATTTTTAAAAAAGT